AAGAATAGGGTCAGAATTTGTGAACCTTCATATTCAGAATTCTGTCTCAGCACAAAATTCCAACCTAGTTTCCTTGTCAAAAACGTCATCTCCTAAGTAGGCTCGGCGATGATCACAGAAGAAATGTTATCAAATGTCACCAGGACTCCCTGCTCTCGTCTTTCACCGCCCACAATGTACCAAATCCTGTATTAATAAAGCACAGCATTTCTCTCACCTCCACAGAAAATGGCGAGAATGTCGTCTCCAAATCTCTGATCCCCTTTACTGTAGTCCTCTTTCGTTACGCAAATATCCAATAATACCATAATAATATGCAAAGATTCACCACCTCACAATGTTCTATAAAGCATGGTCGACATCAAAGGAGATAGAATGTCTCCCTCAGTTCGGAACACTCGATGGTATTGCTATAATATTGATTCCTTAAAAAGAGATTAAAATATTTATTTGCATATTTGCGAAAGAATTCCGCGTTATGTATTCAGCTAGAGAATGTTTGTTATTGAGACAAACGTTGTAGTGTTAGTGTGTGTTTGTGTGCGTGTGTGTGTGTGTGTGTGTGTGTGTGTGTGTGTGTGTGTGTGTGTGTGTGTGTGTGTGTTTGTGTGTTTGTGCTAAGAGCAGAAAGAAAAGGCGCTATACAGCAGCGACCACCCACGAAGTGTTGATTGTCTTTATTGATGTGATATTGTGAGCTATATTCAGTTTATACATTATTGTATATATGCATAATATTATGTGTTCACGTGTTCCTGCATTATGTAGTTATGTATGTGTGTAAGCTTTTATATACTAAACTTCAGATCGGGGACCAATACAAAAGGAGTAGTTTTGTATATCGATTTCCTTCACTCCTTATTTTCTTATTTATTCCCTTGTCCTTGTATAATTGATCGTTTATTTGTTCATTTATTTATTAATAGCTTACCCATCTGTTCACTTTCAAAAACTAACCAGGCACTCGCTTATTTATTTATCTAATTTATTTGTCTTTGACTTCTCTGTCCTCAGGTGGTGTATGTCACTGCAACTCTACCGTATGTCCTTCTGACAGTTCTCATCATCAAGGGCATAACCCTGCCCGGTGCTATGGACGGCGTTATATTTTACGTGAAGCCGGACTTTAAGTGAGTTACTTCTCTTGTGGCTCTGACAATAGGATGCGTTGTTTGTTTGTTTTGTTTGTTTGTTTACGTAGTGAGAAGTATACAATGGAGGTCAGTTAGAGCAAGGAAAAGGGAAGAGAGATAGAAAGAATATTGGGAGAGAAGAGAAGTAAGTATAAAAACTTACCCATCTGCCAATCACCCTTTGGACCGGTTTTAAATACATGAACGCAATACAAGTTTATTTTTTCTCGAAAGATTCAATGACGAACTTGGATTTGAGGAACTCTTTCATTTTTCATTTATTGGTCTTCTCTTTCTCTTTTTTGGGGGGTTGTGTTCTCCTTTTCTCTTCCGTTTTCTTCCATTTCTATTTATTTTTGGGGTGGAGGGGGGTGGGCGAGGGTCTTTATATTACTTTCAGGATTTTGGTATATAAATCTTTGAAGCAATAAGTGTTGGTACCCGTTGGTGTCACATCATATTGAAACAATGTGTTGGAACAGGAGCTTAACAAAACCAATTAAATTCATTCTTGTTTCTTTAGTAAAGCGATTGTTTCATCTGATATTGCTTGATGAAGCCTTATTTGATTTTATATCATCCGATCTGATCCGTTTGAGTCTAATTTAATGCTTTTGATCAGACATAATCTGATCAGATGTCACTTGATCTGATCTCAATAAATTTGATCTGACCTTAAGTGACTTTGTCTCATTTTTTCCCGATTTTAGAAAGTTGCTGCTTCTTCAGACATGGATCGAAGCCGCGATACAAGTGTTCTATTCTCTTGGTCCGGCCTATGGCGCCATCATAACCATGGCTAGCTACAACAAATTTCACAACAACTGTCTCAGGTATGACAAGTAGGCTACCTGTGGGAAAGACGAATCCTCTTCACAACTAGGATTACGTTTTGTTGGCTTATCTTAGTTCAGAATAATAATTTAGAGATTCAATTTTGTTAGCATTTGTTGCAGTCGTTTAAAGAGCTCGTTTAGTTAGTTTTCGAATAATCGATTAGACAACTTGTTTTAAAATCCTCAATAGAACGCACTTTGCACGTTTCTGTTACAATTATCTAGTGATTCTACGATGTTATTTAACTTTTGTTACAATCGATCAGAGAATCACTTGCGTTAGTTTTGAAATACAGTTTTAGAGTATCTATTTTGTAAACTTTTGTTACTACCGTGTATAGAGTCCACATCATCAGATGCTCTAAAGCAGTAGGAACTATATCATGATGTTCATTCATGTGTGAGTAAACCAGAATTTTAACTTTCATGAACGCACTATGTTAACTTATGTAGTTACCACCGTTTAGCCAAATCGTGTTGATAGTGCTGTTAGACAGGTACACAATTAAGCAAAAACTTCTAGACAACCTATTTTGTAAACTTACGCTGCAACACTTTAGAGTAGCCATTTTATGGTTGCGTTTTGTTACTACACAATGTAGAGAGCTCACATCGCTAACATGTCTGCATTGTTCTGCAACCACAGAGACTCAATCTTGTTGTCGTTTGTGTGTGAGGGAACCAGCGTGTACGGAGGTCTGGCAATCTTCACAGTGCTAGGGCACATGGCACACACTGCTGACGTGCCTATCGCTAACTTCACAGAGGCTGGTCAGTGAACACATCCATGTTGTGTTGTAATCTTCGAGAAAGATAGTTTAATTCTGTTGTTATTTTTTGTTTCAGTCTCTTTTTTCTGACTTGGGGTTGTAGTTTTTTCTTGTGGT